AGATACTAGTTTGATTCAAATTTTTAGTCTTTTAACATTATTCCTATGTGAATTAACATTACAATCATTAATTGACATGTGTTAAAAATAATTGTCTTTCAAAACCAAAGCATTGGAGATGCTCTAAGTCTGTCACACAACATTTTAAAACAACCCAAAAATCTTCTTAATACCCAATTTTCTTATTTTTAACTTTAATTTGAAGGATAAGCTGTTATAGTGTATAATTGTGTATTTACTACATTAGCATTAGGTTATCTTCAGTATGTGTATCCTAATTTTGTGTATATGTACTTAGTTAATAGAGTTTTTGTATCATTCGATTGAGATAATCTTTCCCTCAAACTATATTTCGTCTCTTATAACATGGTATCAAATATAATTTTTTTCTGTCCTCAATTGCTATTCTCTTTCTGTTCGGCTACATCCAGCCGAATCAGTCCAAGTCCGGGTTGCCGTCTACGTTCAGCCGCTGCTCGATTCGGCAACGTCCTGGCTGATTCGGCCCTAGTTCACGCTTTCATGTGTTCCAATGTCAAGGTCTATGTATCAGTCTGAAGAGCAATTGGGATTTATTTAATTGTTCATGTCCGTTGTGCTGGTCTCAAGAATCTCACAGAAAACTATCATCAATTGCTCAAGTGCTCACGTCCCAAGTGCTCAAGGCCAAATTGTGATTGAATTGTGAGGCAAAATTTAAAGATTTGCTTTTTAGTTAAGCAACTCATCAGTGAGGCAAAATCAATTGTGATTTATTTAATTGCGATTGAATTGTGACTCAACTCCATTGTGACTATATTTGCAAAATCTAGAGTTTATATTTGCACTTCAACTGTGACTGCGGCATTGTGACTAAAATACTGGTGGTGTTCGTTGTGGTGGAGCTCGCGGCAAGAGTGGTGCTCATGCGAATGCGCCGTTCTCAAATGGTATCTGTGATTCGTTTGTTGCCGATTCTGTTGATTCTTACACTGCTAGTGGAGTTTTGAGTGATTCTGATCGTCTTGCACTTGGCGGTTTAACCAATGAACAATGGGCTCACTTTGTGTTTTTGGCAATTCCGCTAAACAAAATAATCCTTTGTTTAGTACACATGGTTTATTTGATTGGATGTACGACTATGGGACAATTCATCATATGACAGGGTTCTTGGAGTTTGTTTTCGATGTTCGGGATATTCTCGCTCGTCCTGTTCAATTATCTAATGGTTCCTTGACTATGGCTGGCAAAATTGAGACTATTTATTTGGGATCTCATATCACTCTTTATGATATTTTATACGTTCTGGTGTAGACTAATTATTATTATTATTATTATTATTATTATTATTATTATTATTATTATTATTATTATAGCAATTAATTTTATTTAATAATTAGTAGCTTAGGGAATAAACTAGGGTATTATTTGATGACTTTATTTAAAGGGATCTTAGGCTTTTTTATAGTCAGTTGATTATTGAATGAAAAATGAGATTGTGAGTTTTATCGAGAGAGTATCTCGTTTGTTTATATTTCCCATTCGTACGTTCCCCTACATCAGTTGGTATCAGCAGTCAGTACGATTCGCGATGTCGCCGGGACGAGAAGATGCGGCAGACGAACGACGTGACGCAACCTTCAACGATCGGTTTCAACAGATCGACTACCGATTTGAACAATTGGACGTGCGTTTCACGGATTGGTTTGCCGATCTTTCGACGGGGATCGAGGATGTGCATTTGACGCTTAACAATGTGATTGTTTCGTAATTACAGACAAACCGCGATGGGGCTGTGGGTTGTGGCTTTCGCGGGGGAGACAGAGGCGGCTGTGGGGGACGCAGCCATGTCGGGGCGCCCCGGCAGCGATCCTCGCCACCTCTGAACGGCATCAAGGATGGTGACTTTACCTGGTCGACTAATTATTATTATTATTATTATTATTATTATTATTATTAGTATTATTATTATTATAGCAATTAATTTTATTTAATAATTAGTAGCTTAGGGAATAAACTAGGGTATTATTTGATGACTTTATTTAAAGGGATCTTAGGCTTTTTTATAGTCAGTTGATTATTGAATGAAAAATGAGATTGTGAGTTTTATCGAGAGAGTATCTCGTCTGTTTATCTTTCCCATTCGTACGCTTCACTACATCACGTTCTCAGCCTTCGGTGCAGCTTGATCTCATTATATCAATTGCTGGATCGTTCCGACTGCACCGCTCAGTTTAGTAACAAATTCTGTGTTATTCAGAACCGCAATTCGCTGAAGGTGATTGGCGCGTGTGAGCAGTTGGGGGGTCTCTACTTCTTTCGAGGGACAATTTCTACGACAGTTTCTTGTGTTCAGAAGGTTTCTGCCTATGTGTGGCATCAACGTTTGGGACATCCGTCTGCTCAAGTATTGTCCCAGGTTCTTGTTATTGATTCTAGTTCTCGTAATTTGCATAAATCGTGTGATGCTTGTTTTCGTGATAAACAACATCGTCGTAGCTTTCCTCTCAATCAGACTGTTAGTCACGAGACTTTTCATTTGATTCATTGTGATTTGTGGGGTCCATATCGTGTTTCGTCCTTCTGTGGTGCACGATATTATTTGACTATTGTGGATGATACAAAGACTCTATTAACTATGTATATATACACAAAATTAGGGCTACACATACTGAAAGATAAAAATGTAGGTCTTACAGTGTTTTGAAAAAAAGTTTGAGACGAATTAGAGATTTGATCAATCATAACCTTTAAATTTTAATTAATCGGTAATTAGTAGTTTGAAATAGTTTTTCACTAAAAAAAATTTAGGGCTTGATTGTTTATGAATTATTTCATTCTCATTTCTTTCATACTCAAAATCTAACTCAACTTTAACTCAACCCCACTATCTTTAATATTATTCATATAATTAAATAACACAAACCAATTATTCTTACACATCACATCAACTTCAATTCACTATTCATCCACTAACATAATTTTTTAACTACCAATCATTTCCAATCATTTATCTCCTACTTTTACATCAAATCAATTTTAATTATTTTATTTTAAATATTATTATAATACATTCATAAAATTCCACTAACAACTTGTTGACGGTGGGTTTTCACCCTACGGACAGAGCACTGTGGAAGTCCATGAGTCCCCGGTGCATGGTCATGGCCCACCGAGGGTCCCACCCCCCTCCGCGGGGAAGGCTGGCGGGAACGACCGTCAACAAAAAGGAATTTGGTGTGATGGTACCAGGACTTGTCATAAATCCCACCTTATGCTCAGGGTGCAGGGTTCGAGTCCTGGGGAGGGCAAAAACCACAGGGAGTCCTACGATGGGTTTTCACCCTACGGACAGAGCACTGTGGAAGTCCATGAGTCCTCGGTGCATGGTCATGGCCCACCGGGGGTCCCACCCCCCTCCGCGGGGAAGGCTGGCGGGAACGACCGTCAACACAACTAACCATACCATATTTTTCAAAATTAACTATGGTTAACCAAAATAATTCATTTTGAACAAATTATTTCATAAACAATCACCCCCTTAATTATGAAGAAACTCACTTTAGTAGTTTTTTAAAAGAGAGAATTCTAAAAATAGTTATTCTTACATATAAACAATGAATTATTTACCTTAGTAAAATAATTTGCATTATCACTTAATCCAATTAGTTGATGAAATCAGTTTTTCCCCCTAAGCTAATTCAATTAGCTATCAATTATCTGGTAAGCGTTATCATATAATCCAATCCGTTTATTAAAGCTACTAATTGTTGGAATATATCACTTGTGAGTTGTCCCACGTTGATTTTGTAGGGTAAATGAGTCTAGTATATAAACTTAGTGGGCTACTTCTCCCATCACCAATTGGTTTTACGATGGAACATCACTAAGATGCATCTAGGCTCACCCTCTTATGATACGTTTCATCTGGTGGGACCGCACCCTCTTCACCCGGTTCTAATATTAATTAAATCAATCCTTCGCCATAAGCTAATTGCGTTATTCGATTTCACCTAATCAAAAAATTGCTAATTAAATTAGCTTTCCACCATCAATTAATTCAGTATGCTAAGTGTCAAACAGAACCATATTTCACCCACATATTTTTTATAATAAAAATGCTACAAGTACATAATAAATGTACATAGAGGTGTACATAACACACACATTAAGTGGGTTTCACTTAATTTTTTATTTTTTGTATGACCCACTTAATGTGAGTGTTTTATTTTTTAAACATTTTGAACATGTAAATAGTTATGTGCCATCAAAATTTAACCTCGTCGGAGGTAGTGACGGAAAATGGCCACCCGGTAGGCGGGCATCAATGTGGTTGCAAGACTAACGAGTTACGAGCCTAATGATGGTAGTTTGTTGGTGAAGATGCCTTAAAATTCACTCTTGTCTTGCTTTCTCTTCTCTTCATCATCCCTGCATTTAAATGGGCCTAAGCCCAATTTAAGCTCGAAGTAAAAAGAAGCCCACATTACGTAGTACTAAGGAGTTAGGTATGAGTTAATAAAGTCAAGAAACAGCTGGCACAGGATTTTGTGAATTTTATTACTCCATTTTCAAAAGTGAGTATTCAAATGTCTAAGCTAATGATGTAAATCTGGTAGCTCTCTCTCAACACTCTCATTTTTCTTCTTTTCTTTTTTTTTNGAAATTTAGGATTTGCTTACATGGAGAGGTAGCAATTAGCATCGAACTTCCTTTTCCAATATCGGATCCATCCAACTGCTATTGTCACATATTTATCATATATATTTAATTATATACTCATCTAATAATAATAAATATGATAAAACGGTGTATCACACAAAGCGAACCAGAAAGTAAAATGGGGTCAGCTTAAACTCATAAATCAAACACTACAGATTATCAAGATTTTATTTTTCTTTTTTAAACAAGATTATGAGGAATTAGGAGTAAATTAAAAGATAAGATTTGCTTTCAACTTTTTGGGCATCATAATATAACAATAATAGTTATAAAAATAATAATTAGATGTATATTTTTCTTTATGATATTTTTAAAAAATGAGTTTTCATTTTCAAAATAGATTGAAAATGTATAATGCTTTTGAGTTTTGACATGGTACTACATCGGCCTTAAGTACTAAGTAGCATTAGTCAACACAAATTACACATTTTTGTAATACGAGTGAAACAGTAAACTTTAATTCTTATTTATTCACCCCAAATGGTGTGTACGGTAATACGCAGTTTCTAATTATTCTGGCGCGAGTGCTGCAAAAACAGTTAAAAATAAAAAATGGGGATTTCATCTTCATCTTCATCTTCATCGGCCACATGTTTCCTCGTCTTTCTGCTACTCACTAACCAAACACTATCCTCCTCCGCGCAGCCGAAAATGCGCGAATTCCAAAGAAAGCTCCGCCAGAAAACCGCCGCATTCAGCAGCTCGGCCGCCGCAAATTCCAGCCCTCCCAAGGTAAATAAATTGAAAAAAATGCTTGTAATTTGAGTGCATCAAATTGAGTAATAAATTGATGTACCCTTTTCTCTCAACAAAAATTAGAGTAGTGGCAGAGTATATTATCCGACCGGGTACGGAGCAGATCCGACGGGTGTGAAGGACAGCTCGTCGGCGATATTGGCGGCCATAAACGAGGCGGCGGGGACAGCGGCGGAGCATGGGCTGATGCCTGGAATTAGAGATTTGGGGGGCGCCATTATCGATTTGCAAGGTGGGAATTATTTGATTAGCAAGCCCATCACATTTCCATCAGGGATTGGCAACATTGTGGTACGTTTTAATTTTTTCTTCTTTTTGCTTAACAACTTTTACCGGACATGCGTGGTAAAACCGTTTTACTGTTGCGACAACAATGTACTAGTATTTAGTCAAGGTACAAAAACTTCATTTTTTTTACTAACTATGATTAGTGAAGGTAGAAAAACTTCCTTTTTACTAGACATGCACCAACTAGCTAGTGTATAAATAAAATATTAATTCAAATTGGGTTAATTTACCCATATAGACGTGAATGGCAAAAATTGGTTTCATACGATTTGGTCATTAACTCATTATAACTCTACCATAAATTTTCTTCTATCTAATCGATTCAATGCTTATTTAATTAATATCAGTGAAATTCTCTTCATTGTAAAATAGATAGAATTGACAATTAAGTAACTCTTCCTTTCTCAGAGCCACATATTATACTATTTTTTATAGTAAAACAATTATTCTAATGAAGAAAAAAAACAAAGGTAGCCCAAGCGGCTTGGGCGGCCAATGGTTCGGGTGAGTGGCGCCACCACTGTGCTTACTACACGTGGATGCATTTTTCGATAAAATTATTAATTAGTTTTGTGTTTCTCAACGTGGTTTGCTGTGGGTTGGGTTGTCGTCTTTGTAGTCTCCGCGTTTGGTCTTTTCAGACTTGCTTTTACTTTTTACCCACTGCACCGGACAATTTTGCTTAAAGTCCGTAGGCACGCGTCAATGCAATCACCACTACGGAAATTACATTTACCTAAGGTTCGGCTTCAACACAAGATGTACTTTTATTTTATTTTTTTTGTCTAGTGCGTGATCTTATAATGTTGAAGCTTATTAAAGTGTGCATCACATTACAATATTAAAACTGTCAAACTGAATATATAATTTCAACTTCTACAATTAAACTAATAAAATAAAATTTTATAATTGAACTTGACATGAGAAGAGAATTATCAAGGTGAAATGATCTATTTTTGCAATCTGGTATTGCATATTTTACATTTATATCAAAAAATAGTTCCTCTATAGCACACAATTTTATCTTGTAATGTATGGGGCTTTCTGTAGCCTAAGCTAATTAAGGTCCTATTTATAGGACTTCAACCAAGTAATGCGACTGCACTCAAGACAAAAACAGATAACAATTTAGGAAAGACTGAGCAAAAAACAAGTATTTAACCTATCATTTTTAGGTGTAACACACCACTTAATCTACTGGCTAACCACATTTGAGTCAACAACATCCACGTACAATGTACTTGATGAGAGTTGCATGATTTGAACTGAAACTCTAAGTTCAAATCATATTGGTTGGCCCAAAAACATGCAAATAAATTAGAGAATGGGCCCAAGCCCAATGATTATTAAAGTCCAAACAACAATTTATTTGTTAAATACCAAACAAGTACAAAGGTCCAAGTCCAATACCCATCTCGTGTTCAAGGCGAGCGGTGTCGTGCCGAACCAACGAGTCGGTAAACGTGCGCACTTGCGTGTAGCCGAAGTCAACACCTATATTTAGTACACAACTTTAATTATTGTGGTGACCCCTGCGAACAATCTTATAATAAACATATATAAGTCTTATTCCTTTGACTTTTCGATTCCCACAATCAATACTTAAATACCAACTAGTCTAATTATTTATCTGAAAATAATTTTTAAGAATTAAATTCTAATCATAAAAAATCAATTAAAATCGGATCAAAACCCACTTCTCCCTTCCTTTTCTTCCTCTTGAGGTTTTGGATGATACGTTTTAGTGGACATACATGTAATTGCCCAAAAAACTTGAGTAGATAAATCTGTTTTAAACATCTGAAATCCAATTTACCAAACTTATTAATCCTGATGACAAAACAAGAAAGAAGGAACATGACATTTCAACTTTGATCATCATGGCAAAAATGACACTCTTTAAATCAGTACTTGTATTATAAACCAATACTAAATGCAAAATAAAGTTCTCAAACATTTCTCTTGTGAAATGAAATGTACCACAGATGCAAGGAGGCAGCCTGAGGGCATCCAACACATTCCCCGGCGACAAGCACCTCATCCAACTCATCTCCTTCCCTCCATCTCCCAAAACATCATCATCATCTCCGGCCAACTTTTCCGACCAAAAAGACAGCAACTCCGACAACATCCGCTACGAATCCATCACCTTCCGAGACATCTTCTTCGACTCCACCCTCCGCGGCGGCGGCATTGCCGTGTTCGACTCCGTTCGTATCCGCATCCTCGACTCCTTCTTTCTCCGCTTCACCACCCAAGGAATCCTCATCCGCCGTGGCCACGAAACCTTCGTCTCCCGTTGCTTCCTTGGCCAACACCCCAACGACGGCAACGACCCCACCGAACCCACCTTCGCCGGCACCGGAATCGACCTCTCCGGCAACGACAACGCCGTGACCGACGTCGTCGTCTTCTCCGCCATCACCGGAATCTCCGTCTCCGGCAAGGCCAATATCATAACCGGAGCCCATTGCTACAATAAGGCCGCGGGCTTAGGCGGTGTCGGGATTTACCTCTCTAAAGGGTCGGCACAAAATCGGATTGTCGACTCGTACTTGGACTACAATAGCATCGTGATCGAGGATCCCGACCAAGTCCTCGTCTCCCGCGGATTTTTTCTCGGCGGAGGAAATGTGAGGTTGAAGGCGGTGGGTGGCTGGATATCGGGCCTCGTGATTGTCGACAACATTTTCTCCGATGACCGGAAAAAGAACGCTCCGTGCGTGGAGCTCGACGGGCATTTCGGGAACAATATCAATCAAGTTGTGGTGGACCAGAATGTCGTGAAGGGGATGAAGATGAGATCGACGGTGTGGAAAACGGTGGTGAGGGGAAAAGGGAAGAGTTGGAAGGCCGATTTTTCGGATTTACTATTGTTTCCGGATAAAATAAATCACGTCTCGTATTCGTTTTACCTAAAAGGAGATGGAAAGTTTCCGTCGCATGCGGTGACGAACGTGTCGGGGAATGTTGTGGTGATCGAGAGCCGGCGTGAAGTGGATGCCGCGGTGTCGGTTTCGGTTGATCAGTATAACACAGTTGGGGAGGAGAAATTGTAATTTGTTGGTTATATTTATAATTTTTGTGAAAAAAAAAAAAGGTTTTTTTTTTCTTGTTATTTTTGAAGGTTTGTTGTTCACTTATGGTTGCTATACTTTCTCGACAAGGCACGGTTAGATTTCTCATTCTTACTTATGTATACAATACATGTAGTAAACATGGTAGCTAGTTAACATATGTAAAAGTTTTTTTCAGTGTCGTATAGTTGAAAGTCTTCGTGTATAAAGATTTCATGTTTGCTGCTCAACTTGCAGTCCTGTGTAGATTGTTCTGTTACAATGAGTTCTGAACGGAAAGTTTAAAATTTTTAATTAGCATCAATCAATCCACGATTCCCTATTGTCACGATTCATGTGGATTTACTAGCAAAGCATATCAATGTCCAACTTTGGATTTCGTTAGCATATATCACAGAGTCCTATCTGATTTTGCAGAGAATTCCGATACATATATAGCAGATACAAAATGGGGTTATAAATATACAAGAACAACATGGTTACATTATCGCACAAGATTATCAAATATACTGTATACATAACATACTCTAGCAAGACATTATCACACAACACACACACGGTTGGCACCATAAACTGATTAATCAGCTACAAACACAGAAACATTTCTCGGTTTTTTTTTTTTTGGTCNCAGAACAGATATATTGTCTCATCTTAATCTAGATCAAGAATGTGCTTACCATATAAATTCAACATCCCCAAAAGTCATCGCCACTTGTTCAGGATAATCTTCCGGTTTCGAAAACTTATCCAGGTCAAAATCAGCGAAACTCAACGGGCTATCGGACCTCATATCATAATCAGCAGTCGAAACAAACGAACCGTGATCACGATCATCACTAACAGGAATATTGTTAGCAGTAGCAGTAACAGCATCATTGCTGCTGAATTCAGACGAACTTTGACCCAGCTGACTGTTTTCGTACCACAGTTGACTGCCCTGGTCAGCTTTATACTGCGCGAAGTTCAGATTAATTGGGCCTTTGTAATTCCCTGACTCACTTTGGCAGCCCGTGAACTTTTGCACGAGGGCCCGAAAGTTGTTGGCGTTGGCGTTGAGAAGGGTCGTGGGAGCCCTTTTAGAAGCCCGGGAGCGCCTTTGGCCCGGCTTCCCGATGCTGGCTTTCGGGCTCAAAGCCGAGTGGGAGATGATGTCAGACGCTTCTTGATCCAAGGTCAAATCGGGCCTGGTAGAGACCATTTCTTGGTATTTTCGGGCCCATTCATCCGGGCTTTGCATGTTCTCCAAAGTTGGATTGAAGTTATTTAGTATGATAATAGAGTAGTGCAGGTGTGTGTAAAATGTAATCGATCACTCTTTTTAAATTAATTTTGTTTCCAAGTTCCTTGGCGGGTAAGAAACAATGATATGTTAGCTCGTCACAACTTTAATCTTTAATCTAGCTAATAACTAACCCCAAATGAGATTATAAAACAATTATATTAGGTCAAATGCTGAACGTTGACCTTTCCTATGAAATTGAATATGATGTGTGAATTTTGTGGGAATGGGGTTTATGTGGTAAATAAATGAGAAATTTCCTAGAAACAACAAAGCTTCTTTACTAATTTGCATGGCGGAGTGCTTGTAAATTTCATAAAGAGAGTACATAATTAATAAGTAATAAAAATAAGAAAGTGAGATTTGCTTTTCTATATCTATACTATTATAAAAAGACGAATGATTTTGTAAAAATAATGATCTGTCTAAAAAACCCTTACTTTGACAAATTTTAAATGGCAAATTGATAATAAATAACTATCTTTTTTCTACAATTTTTAAAACCCCGATTCTTTTTTTTTTAAGAAATATAATTAATTATTAATTACAAATACACTTACAAGTTTGATATGATATAGTATTCCTTCTTCCCCACAAACTTTTGAAACCCCGATTCTCTTTATTTTTAAAGAAAAACATAATTAAAAAAAAAAGTCAAAATTGGATCGGCAAGATCTCCTTCAAGCGAACTCTGTCCGGCATCGGATCGGCAGTATCTCCTTCACCCGAACTCTGTCCGGCGACCATGAAATTGACACGGCTTTCTTCAAACTACGCGGCCGCAAGAGAGTGAACTAGCTCCGAACTCAAGTTCTGAAATCTCAGCCCTGCATCCTTTTTTGGGATTTTGGCACGGCTCTCTTCATACTACTCGACCGCAAGACAGTGAATTAGCTCCGAACTAAAGTACTGAAATCTCAGACTCCTCAATTTCGTAAGTTTTATGCTCTTTCTCTTGCATCTTTTCTGGGATTTCGGTTTTGGATTTTTAAGATTTTATTTGCATTTTTCTAAACCACCAATTTTCCACTTTTGAAATTAAATTCAGCATGTTTATTGAATTTTTTAGTCTTTTATTTACACGAGGCAGAAACGAATCGAAGGATCTTATAGGAAGGGATCAAGTTGTTGAATGGGTCGAAAATCATCTACATTTGATTTATCAGCAGGTAATTAATATAATATGTATTTAATAATATCACATTTTTGAACTATTTTATCTTTTAACAATTAACTAATTATAAATTCACATTAAAAGGTATAAGGTACATGTAAGTTATATAATTACAAAAATAATTATAGTTAATTTTTTGGTTAAAGTGTTACTTTAGTTGAATATTTTTTTTTTAACATTTATATTCATTTTTATAAGTGAAGGATGTATATCGGAGTCGAAATGCGCCTAAGATGAAAAGAAGATACAACGATTTAAGTGCAGGTGATAAACAAGTGTATATTGATAATACTATTAAACGTCGCAAGGGCCAAAATATGGGTGTTGCATAAATTATAATTGGTTGAGCTGAAAATTAATTCATTATTTATTTATTTTATTTTCTAAATAGCGGGCATGATAAAAATTATGAAAAATGTTCCTATAATTATTGTTAGATATTTTATGCAATATATTTTGCGATGAGGCCTGTGTATGGACTATTGGACAAACATGGATCTGCCCATGATTCCAACAAAATATTTTTGTTATAATTTTCATTGAAAAAATTCAAACGAGAGTACTAAAATTGAAATATTCGTTAGAATTGTCGTTAAAATTCTGTTGGAACATGTTTTCATTGAAACTTTTTCATTCTTTTACAATAAAAGTGACTCCAAATCAAACTAAAAATTTTTGCACTATATATAATATTGTGTGCAGTTAATTATTTCGAAAATTGTTGACAATGATCCAAATGATACACATTCAATGTAATTATGATTTAAGTTATGATTATTAGTATTTTTCTTTTAAAAAAAATAAGATACATCTAGGCTGAAAAGTCCTTAATTATTTTATTAGTATTATAATAACTAAACAAGATGTAAGAATGATGTTCTACGTAATAAAAAGGTAAGACTACACAATGATAAAACTTATAGCTCACATTCCATCCAAAAGTAAAAAAAAAAATGATAAAATTAATAAATGTCAGAAATATGTTAGTCTTAGTTTTTTTTATATATTGTATTAGAAATCAGTATGCTAGTCTTAGTTTTTTAGTTAAAAATTAAATTATTTTTTACCATTACAGTTTTCAATTTTGAAATACTTAATATATTTTTATTTGTTACTCTTTTATATGTGATATATCACATCATTTCGTTTCCATCGGGTTTGATTTGACCAATGTATTGTAAATAAAATAAAAATAATATAATTGTTTTTATCGATATAAAGTAAAATATATATGTGTCAATACCAATTTAAAATAATAAATGGACCTAAAAGTATCTTATAAAATAAATTATAGATCTATGTTAACTCAATTTTATTAATTATAAAATAATAATAGAAAAACTTGTGATATATTCTTACATAGATTTGAAATATTCATACCAAGAAAAAAGTGCAAACGGATGTAAACGTACAACTATTACCAACATTAACCATGCAAATTAAAAGAAAAATTAATGAGTTGTATATTAAACTATTATTCAATTACTGCTTGAAAAGGAACACCATAATGGTTGTAAAATATATTTTTTGTGAATATGAAAATGAGTTAGTTACTTAATATTTTATAAAACAATGAAAAAAATCCAAAAAATTTTAATCTTATAAACAATATAAAAGTACACTTTTATCAAATATATTATTACTATCAAACACGTCAAGAAATAAAATGCGTATATATGTGCTCTATATCTTTCAACATATATAATATTATTTGTAAATAAAATAAAAATAAAAAATAAAACAATAGTAATGCAATGGAGAAAAGAAAATGTCTGAATTTTCTTAGAAAAGTATGAGTATCAATATCAATAAACAAAAGTCTTTTAAAATTACTATTTTTTTTGTTGCTAGCATTTAAATATATGTTCTCTATAAGAAATTGGCTCTTATAAATAATGATTCCATCTGATCATAATATAGACCACAAACTTTAATAATGACTTCATAATAGTAACGTTTATAGATGACTAAGAGTATCATAATATAATAGAATACAAGTTCTTCTCATCTAAAATATGTTGACAAATGATATAATTCTCAATATTGTCTCATTGTTTTGTTTTGTTTTGTTTTGCTATTATTGAAAAATCAAGAAAGGATCTTTATCTTGAATTTTTTAAGCATTATGTATGATGCAAAAAATTGGACAATAAATACATTAATTAAGTTTTTAGATAGATAAATATTACAAAATTCGAACGAATGTGAAAGGTATTAAGAAAAACAACTCTAAAATCATTACAACAACTAAAATGTTCAATGATTTGCAAATAATAGGTTATGTAGTTTATCTATCTTTCAAATAAATAACACTGAAAAGGGAATATTTGATTCTGATCAAAATATATTTGATCATATGTGCAATTAATTGTATATTGTGTTCGATCATATGTGCAATTACTTTAGAGTATGTACTTTCATGTAATGTGTGATGATTTTAAAAATAATTTACCAGATGATTTTGAAAAATCAACTTTTATTTAGAAATGAAATTCGTTCCCACCCCATAGGATAGGTACCATTTCACCGAGATATTTATGAATTGTTAGTAAAAATATCTTATAATGATCATTTAATCATGAAGTTTGACTATATGTTTCACTAAAATATATCTAAGTTTTGAATAAAGCAACGTTTTGCCAAATTAATTAAGAAGAATTTTGCAATATATTGATGTATTGGACTCCAACGAGTATGAATGTTTCTTATGAGAATGTCAAAACCAAAATGAAAGAAAATCACTTTTGAATCTAACATAAATAAATAAAATAACTCATGCATCTATAATATACATTAGGTCCTTATTTGGTTATTTAGTGTTTTTTTATTAGAGACTCATTTTTTTATATATTTTTGTTGAGTGTGTAACATGTTATTTAAATCTTTTTATGTTATGACATTATTATGTTATTTTCGAAAAATGAAATACATTAGGAGTTTATTTGTTCTGCATCTTATTTTGTTCATGCAAACATATATTTAATAAATTAATTAATTTATCTTGCTAAACTTAATCGGCCAAAAATATTCGTCACCACGTGCATCGCACGTGCACTTTACTAGTAAATTGAAAAATGCGTGTAATTATTAAAAAAAAATGCTTATTTACTTAAGGATTAAATAATATATATACCCAACTTATACATGGCTTTAATTAATTAATCCTCTAATGCTCATTGACCTGGTCTTGGCTTTTCCATTCACATGAATCTACATATGAAAGGTCTTGCTCACAACTAATAATCTGGGATTAGACTATGAAATCAATTGATGCTGATATATATTATGTCTGCTGTGTTGTGGAAGGCTATATGTATGCATGTGTCCATATTTAGTAGTAGTTAGTAATATTGAAAAATATTATTAACCAATTAAGAGTAGTTAATATTATACGAACATGCTTTGGCAATTGGATATGAGATAGAATTAGGAGTAATTAATATTGGACTAATAGAAAGATACAGAAATTATATACTAACTGAATTATGAACATTCTAATTAACTATATTAATTCTCCAAAAAAAAAAAAAGAAAACTGAAAATAAAAATATCACAAGTTAGACATGTGCCGTACATTTAGATCAAGGTGGAATAAAATTCATATTAAAAACCGACTATATCTATTGTTAAAATAATGTCGTTCGCTAATTTGTTAGTGCTTCGTATGTTGCAAGAATTTTTCTGACAGTACGTACTGTATATAATTTATAAATAGAAATAACAAAAAGAATCTGGAAGAGTAGAAATGATTCCGATAAAAACTAACAAACCTAAATAATTGTTAAAGAAAGAAACAAAAAATTTGAAATTAAAATACTAAAAATTGAAAAAATAAAAATTATATATTTTGGCTCAATTAATAGAGCCCTTATTTTTGTTTGTTGTTTGTAGGGCTGCGCACGAGTCGAGCCGTTCGCAAGCGCTCGAGCCAAACCTCGGTTCGAGCTCGAGCACAAACTCGAGTCGAGCTCGAGCCCATATTTTACATTGTCGATATAATTTGACAAAATTGTTTGAAAATTTTCGAACCGAACTCGAGCCGAGCTAGATGATTTTGAATTCGATTCGAGCTCGAGCTTATTGTATTTTCTTATCGAGTCGAGCTCGAGCTCGAGCAGCTCAAAAAAAAAAATCAATCCTGCTCGATAAGGTCAATGCTCGACTCAGCTCGACTCGTTTGCAGCCCTAATTGTTTGGAAATGGAGTTGGATGAAAATTGGGGTTAAGATGACGTCTTGGTCAAGTTAAATGTGAACAATATTTGGGTTGGGTCCCTTTCCAAGTCTTTATTTTCTATTGCTGGCTACAAATTAATCGATGCGCATCAAATTGAACACCAAATGCACCTTTCTCGTGTACATTAATTTACTCGCAAGTATATTGTATTTTTTTTATGAATTCTAATCAACTAATTTATCCCATCATTTGGACAATATAATATATTTTGTCTAGTAAGGTCATATTTTTGTTTTGCATTGGGGACCATAATCTTCATTAACATTATGTTTACGACGTAATTTGGTCTAAAGAATTGATCTGTCACATAAAATCCAAATGTTGCTAATTCACAGAAAACAAAATAAATTTACGATAAACGTCTCAATGTCTGTAAGTTGAGCAGAACGACTTTTAACAAATTGGAGAATATTAAAATATGATCCCAATAAGATTATTGTATAATACAATATAATACAGATCTATGTCTTAATGTGTAGAATAATGAGATGGTACGTTGTTACAATATCAACCAATTGACTATATATATTTGTGATATATGTCGGAATTGATGTTATCAATGGTCAAAACATTGACTTTGAAAAAATAGAAAATTTGATCCAGTCCAAGTCTGGATATATAGTTGGAGATGGGGACATACTACCAATTTCATTTGGTTATTTTTGAATGTTACGCAAAATTTGAATGAAATTAACAATCATATCAATGAATTCCAGTTTAATTTTGACTTCATTATGGATCTATTTTCCATACCAACCCCAGGAAAATTTCATTCTATCGTGTTTTCTAATTTTGTTTTGATCCAACACTAAAAAACATTGCACGTCCAAACGGATCAAATATAATGCTCATCGTGCACGTGTTGTGTTTAGTCGTCAACTTAATATTTCCTTAATTAAATTCATTAATCATCCAAAACCACTACGTACAAGTTACAACATAACACCACAGTACTGTATATGAACTAACATGAAGTGACAACTTTAATTAATTAAAATTCGGTACAGCTCCAAAATTACATGAAACTTGTAAGAAAAAGGAGCTAGAAACGGCCGTGATTGGAGTAGGCGTGAGTGTTTTCCGGTGAGGAGGCAAAGCAGAGAGTAATGGGGCCTTTTGGGGTAGAATGTTCATTGGTGTGGCAGCCCGTGTGCTGCTGGACCAGGGCCCGGAAGTTGGTGATGCTGGCATTGAGAAAGGTCGTGGGATGGGCCGACTGCGAATTCTTGGCCCGTCTGGCCCGTTTCGCTTTTCCTGGGCTGCTCACCTGCAGGTTCGCCATTTCTGAGGCATAAAACGTGCTGTTATTGCCCGCCACAATTTGATTCGAAACCAAAGGGACTTCATTATAATTAGTAGTAGTGTTGTACAAATTTGTGTGATCATCAAGAGGAAACCCTTGGTAGAGATATTGTTCCCATTCACTATAGTTATGGATTTGGTCACTCATGATAATATAGTAATTCTTTTGTTTTTGTTATATGTTTAATTGGTGGCTTTGATGTTGTTTTCAGTGTGGGATATTTATACATGAAGAGCAAGAGTGATGAGCAAGACACATAAGATTAAGACACAGTCAAAGTAGCTAGCTAGCTATATGTGCTTTGTGGATGTATATGAATGTTATGACAAAATATGTGTGCTGACTTTTGGAGTCTGCTTCGAGGAAGCAGCATTATGAGTAATCATCTGACTTAATCAAATTTAAAATCACAATTAATGCCAAAGATTGAGAATGAAAATCGATAATTAATAAAATGTATAGGGTTCTAGCTAATTGATGAGGATACAATTTTTTTTTTTTTGGTCTGAAAATGGTTCTGAATTCTAACAAGTTTACTTATAGACAATATGTTCAAGTCTAGTTACTCACTTTCGTTTTACTATGAATCGAGCAATGGAAAACCGCCATTAATTCTCAAATTGAATTATCTATTGTTATAAATAATCTATGAAACAATCCTGCCAAAAAAAATGGGTTTTAATGTGTACAGTGAGAAAATATTTCGAAGTGAAAAATCAAGGCTCGAAATCCGAAGCCCTTTCATAGTGATAGTGAGTTCGTTTACTCGATCAAAACAGGCGGAGCCAAATTTGACAAAACTGAACCATTTGTCCTTACCTGAATAGCCTTTTTTGAGTTTTTTCTATATACATGAAATATCTCAAAACATCATAATTTTGTAATAAGTCAATCAATTGTGTGGATTGATAGGTATTCATAGTGGTTATTTGTAATTTTCTTAATTTTTGTATTTATTTTGGAAAAAAATTATTACGTGAGGATAAANAAGTATGTGGGAAACTAATTTTACACTCCTTTGGCCATTTGAAATTTTGGTAGCCAGTGTATTGAGTAAATGAAGACATCATAGAAAAAGACTTGTCTACTGAAAAAATCAAGCGCGCTTCTGAGTGGAAATAACTGCAACTTTGAATACATTTTCTTACCACCTTATTAACTCAAATGAGATATTTTGCTCCATTTTTTTAAGTTTTATTTTATTGGATAAATTACACATATAATTGTTCGATGATGATATATTGTTAAATTATGACCATTTTCTCTACCTATAGATTGATGGAGAAGTACAATTTTGATGTGAAGGAACAACAAGGGCTTTCTCATCAAATCCCACAATTGATTTTTATAGTTAATATGGAAATAATATCATATCTATACTTATATAAAAAGAGATCCTATTTACTACAAATAGTATCCAGAAAAGTCAACTACAATTAATGTTATTACTATTTCCAGCATGTATTTTATTTAATTATTTTATATTGAAATTAATGTTATGCGATTCAATTAAGCAATCAGTTTTCCTGCGAAAAAATCCCACAAAATCAGCTTTAATTTTTTGTATATTTGAAATTTCATTCTTATCTTCTATTTGTTTTATCTCATACAATCCGTTTAGTCAACAAAATCTCATAAACTCTTTTTAAACTTTTTGTAGATTGAAATTGAAATTTCCTTCTTATTTTTTTACCAGAAATTTATTATTTATGTATTGAAATTCTGTAATCCGATTTCAGATTGTATCATTAAGAATATTATTGTAAAAAAAATAATTCATATAATTTTATAACAATTCTACTACACTATTTAACAGTATTCCTTTTTATTATATAATAAAATAATTATAAAATATTATATAGTGAACAACAATAAGTAAAATTGTTACTTTCTCTTATATCAATGGATAAATTTATATGCTAAAATTAAATTTTTATTAGTATAAATATTTTAGTGAGATAATATATTAATTATTTTACAAACTAGCCCTAACATGCTCATATTTAATGTTCTGGCTAAAAAAACAACGGTGGTTAAAAGATGTGGAAAAAAATTTATGATAACCCTATTGTTTTTTAGACTTAACGTTGATTAAAAGAGGTAGATAATAGATAATAACCCTATTATTTTTTAGACTTAAACGGACAAGGGTGTGAAAATAACTCATTTAATATCTCTGTCCCGTGCATCGCACGTGATACGTACTAGTTGTTACGGAAGAAAAGAATTTCATTCATTCACTAGTGACATATATGTGTACAAACAAGCTACAGAAAATAAAACTAAAAGAAATGGTAAAGGAAGAAAAAAAAAAATTCTAGAAAGACATTAGTTAAATGCTTGAATTTTTTGTAATATTTCTTGCGTTAATTAATAAATAACAAAGTATATTAGAGAGAGTGAGAATTTATTAAAAAATAGACAATTCTTTTGGAGGCAAGGAGAAAAGACAATGAAAGAGAATTATAGGTAAATTAAAGTGGTCAACGGATAGGAATAAGTCAGTGTTCAAAAGCGGGAAGGACTACGACAGCCGAATCACCCAATTTCATGGTTTGCTTTCCAAGTTTTTGAATTTTGACTAGTCGTATTAAAAACATTTTATTATAATACAAAAAATTTGTATTAATAAAAAAAAATGCTTCAAAACGCAGCATAACATTTAGTTTAATTTTCTTACTAAAAAAAGTGGTACTCTAGCTCACCTTAAAAATGCGATGTTCTCTTAAAGCAAAATTTTCTTTGTTTTTTACTTCAACCCAGAAAGGACCCATGTTCACATTATCTGGTTTGACTTCACTATCAACCTATTAAAATTATTGACTTGGCCAAGTCTCTTTCAATCTTACACACCTGTTTTCTGCTATCAGCTTTTAAATTGTCGACACTGTTAATATGGAATTTGCCAACCGTTTCTGAATTTTAATATTAATGATACTTTAGACTGATTAATCGTTAATTTTTCGATAGAAAATAGAATTTTAATATTAATGTTGCTCTTCAATAGAATTTTAGGATTAATACTGCTCAGCTCTTAAGCTGATTAATCGTGAGTCAACCATCATAATTCTAATAGATTTACATATTTTTATATTCAAATATCATAATGTTTTTACTTATTTCTTGGCAGGGACATAGCCATACTAGGCCCCTGGGCCCTTGGTAAATGCAAAAAATATTACAATATATTAATAATTAAAACATAGTATCTATGTTATTTTAATTTATATTATTAATATTGTTTACTTATTGAAAAATTATTAACAATCTTTATAATGATTTACTTTTTTTTGTCTCTTAATTGTAAATCGATTTAGTCATATAAAACCGAGTATTTATTGGATTGTTACATTTTCTAATGTTTATTTTTTTTACTTTTTTGGTGTAATCACATAATTTTAACTTTATTTATTTTTTTCTTAAAAAATATTTATTTGGTAAGCTCTCATCAACAAAAATGTTATACAATATGCTGCAAACGTTTAATTCAAATCAATTGTTCAACCAAAAAACTTATTTTTCCATAACTTATAGATGTTGAAGATAAATTATAAATACTTAAAATCTCATTTTTATTTTTTTTTAATTTGAAGGTGATATGAATTTTAAGTTTTTAAAAATTGATGGTACACATATCGATATTTATATTTTTAGTAAATATATTTTTATATAAAATGAGCGTTTAGATTTAAACTACAAACTCATTATTTAACATTTAAATTGAGCCCCCTGAGTTATATTCCTAAATCCGTCACTGTTTCTTGGGAATTATTCATACATAATAATTAGGGACTTCCTCTATAAAATAACTCAATTCATACTTAAAATCTAATTCAACTTTAACTCAATTAAATTATCTTCTATATTTTCAATAAAATCAAAATATCAAGAAATCATTCTAACATATCACATCAATTTTAATTCACTAGTTATTTAATAACATAATTTTAACCAATATCATTTCACATCATATATTTTCTATTTTTACATCAAATCAACTTTAATTATTTTATTTTATATATTATTTTAATATAAACTCGAAATTCCACCAACAACAAATTATACCATATTTTTTAAAATTAACAATGATTAACAAAAAAACTCGCTTTTAGCATATAAATTTGTATCCAAACACGCCCTTAGTATTAATGTAGACTAGCATAATGTCCAAAATCATAGTGGCCACTGCAAATGCTAAAAATTCTACACAATACAACATATTACATTTACATTTGGTACAAACAATGCCCAAGAGTCTGATAAAGGCCAAAACTAAGGGGGCAAAAAGAATAACAGAAAATGACAAAGAAATAAGATTTTTTTTCCTTTTTGTTTTTCCCAATTTCCCCTCTAAACTTCTACTCGACAGTGATCTCCAGTATAGTTGTAAGCCTGGGTTTCCTATATCTCCTAAGCATCAACGAGGAGCACACGACGGTCACAGACGATAGCGCCATGCAAGCTCCGGCCACCCACGGCGGCAGTTTTATTCCCAGCCACGGAAACAAAACTCCGGCAGCCACCGGTATAGCCACCACATTATAAGCGCTTGCAAACACGTAATTCAACCTGATACGCGAAAACGTCTTTCTCGAGAGATCGATAGCAGTTATCACATCCTCCAAGCTGCTCCTCATGAGCACATAATCGGCAGCCTCGATTGCAATGTCAGTCCCGGCCCCAATGGCCATTCCCACATCGGCTGCCGCCAGTGCCGGGGAGTCGTTGATTCCGTCCCCCACCATTGCAACCACGCTCCCATTTTTCTGGAACGAGCGGATGACATCAGCTTTTCCCGAGGGCATAACCTCTGCCCGAACGTCCGTGATGCCGACCTGCGTAGAATAGATATAGGTTATGTAATGGTAAATCTAACTAATATGATAAGTTAGCTGATTGTTGTTTGCTGATAAATGAATTTCGAGTTTATAGTTGATATAATAAGAAGTGTTTCAACGGACTTATATAATAAAAATGTTTGGTAAAATTAGCTAATAAGTTAGCAGAAATAAAAATTTCAACGAGCTTACTACCTTATTTGAAAAGCTACCCAAGGAGTTAAGCTCGAGTTTTTTTAAAAAAGTTCATCCTACCAAACCAACCAAGCTTAATTAGATACAAGAAGCTTATAAGGTAACCAAATAAGCTATAAGATAACTTATTTGGTTATCAAACTAAATTTCAAGTTCATAGCTGATAGCTTATGACTTACGGCTGAAAAACTAGTTTATATGATAAAAGCATTTAGTAAAATTAGCTTAAAATTTCAACGGGCTTATTTGAAAAGCTAACCAAGGAAGCTTATAAAATAAGCTCGAGCTTTTTAAAAAGTTCGTCCTACCAAACTAAACTTATTTAGATACATGAAGCTTATACGCTAACCAAATAGCTTATAGTGTTTAACAAACACACTCATAAGATTCGGAAAGCAAATCTGCAATTTTTCTTGGATAAAAAAATCATTAAAGGATTACTAATAGAGCGAAAATTAAATTTTTCTTGGATAAAAAATAATAAAAAAAAATACCTCCTTTGCAACAGCTCTGGCTGTTCGCCAATTATCGCCAGTAACCATAACTGGATTCACACCCATCTTCTTGAGGCCCTCGATGACAACAGGAGCCTCTCTCTTTAATGGATCTGCAACACCTATAACACCAATAATGTCATTATCGTAAGCCACAAGTATACCGGTCTTGGCACTTTCTTCCAACTCTACAACAAAATCCTCAACATGGTCCAATATAGCAACACGATTTTCCATCATCAGCTTCCGGTTACCAACCTGTTAAACAGGTATAATATTTTAAATAAATAAGCACCAAAAGAGTCACTGGTAAACCTTTTTTCTCCTGGGTATCGAGTATGGAGACAAGTAAAACTGGTTCAAAGTACTTACCAAAATCTTTTTGCCGCCTATAAAGCATTGCACACCTTGTCCAGGCAAAGCACAAAAGTCCGAGACTTCAAGAAGCCATCCAAAGGAGTTAGTAGAAGCAGGTTCATCAAAGAAATGGAAATGACGGGCATATTCAAGTATTGCTTTGGCCAGAGGGTGCTCACTACTAGCCTGTGCCAAAAGAAAAAATAAAGAAATAAAAAAAATGAAGTAGTCCAGAAATCATTTATAATATTTTATTTTTTCATTTTTCTCCTAATATATTTGACTGTGATCATATAGAGTGGTAACCACAAAGATATTTGGAAAAATAGAAAAGGAAAGGAAAGAATGAAGGAAGGAATGTATAAGCACATGAAGAGGAATATATGCAAAATCAAACACAACTTGAGTTCAGTTAATCCAGGATATGTATTTACCTCTGCCGAAGCCACTAATGTAAGAAAATCACCACGATCCATGCCAGAAAAAACTTTTGCTGTGGCTACCGTGGCCTTCCCCTGGGTTAATGTTCCAGTCTTATCGAATATGACGTAATTGACCTTTTGTGCCTTCTCCAATGCATCTCCTCCTTTTATAAGCACGCCATTGTTAGCTCCAACCCCTGTTGCCACCATGACAGCTGTTGGAGTGGCCAATCCAAGTGCGCATGGACACGCAATTACCACAACTGAAATTGCAAACATAAGAGCAAAAACAAAATAATTGCTATTCTGAGGCAGCCACTCCACAGGGTAGCCTCCGAGAACCCCAGCAAGATACCTGCAAATTAATGGAAGAATATTGATAACGAAGTTAATGATAATTAACTGTAGAAAATATATCAGCTCTGAATTTAGCAATAGTAAAGCTTACCATCCAAACAAGGTCAACAATGACAAACTTACTACAACAGGGACAAAAACGCTTGCAATCTGCAGGTGATGAAAGCAACTAATTAAGGAATCTATAGCAGCATTAAATGAGTTCTAGCACAAAAAAATCTACGAGTAAAATTCAAAGACAATGGACAGTATGTAGAACTAAATGGTAAAAAGACTATAATATGACAAGCATCGCATAACAATGTCTATTCATTTGTATCGCCTCAGAAAATATGCTTTGCAAGAGGTATTCACATTTTATCATTGAATTCATTTTCTTTTGGGTGAGCGTGGAGAAAGTGGGGGTTCCATTTCTTCTCTGTTTATCTCTCTTTTTTTTTTCTTGATTGGCAGAATGATTGGAGAGATTGATTATTTGTTTATATATCAAGATTAGCATGCAAGGAGAAGCTGACCAAAGCACAGACCACAACATGACAATCAAGAAAATCCAACACTCACAAAGTCCGCAAATTTTTGAATGGGAGCTTTAGACATCTGGGCCGTCTCAACCAGAGAGATAATTTGGCTTAAAACCGTGTTAGAGCCTACTTTGTTGGCTTGTACGTGAAGGGCACCATGCAAGTTGATTGTACCTCCGATAACTAAAGAATTGACTTCTTTCAGAACCGGAGCAGATTCACCAGTAACCATACTCTCATTTACATAACTTGAACCCCATACAACTGAACCATCGGCAGGAACCTTTGTCCCAGGGAGTACTTTTAATATATCACCAGGCTGAATCAATAAAGCATCAATTTCTCTCTCTCCTACGATTTTCCCACCTGAATCAACAAAACATCAATTCAATTCCGAACATCAGCTGGTTATGTGTGTGTGTGTGTGTATATATATATATACAAGTAAATGGAAAAAATACCTTTGTCTTTGATAAGCAGTATAGCAGTAGCAGGAGCAAGCTCCACTAGCTTTTTGATAGCATCAGATGTCTTTCCTTTTGCAAGACTTTCCAAATACTTTCCGAAAAGTACAAATGTAATTAGCATTGCACTTGCTTCAAAGTAAGTCGGGGACCAGAACCCAGTCATGGCACCGTACAGTAATGCGCATACAGAGTAAAAGTATGATGCTGATGTTCCCAATGCAACCAGGACATCCATGTTGGTCGAACCATTTCTGAGTGCTCTGCCAGCTGCAACATAGAAGCGCTTGCCTATAACAAATTGCACAACTGTGACTAAAGCCCATTTCAGCCAATCACCCATTTGGAATGGACCACAACGCCTAAGTAGTAAAGAATATAACAGGGGTATGTGAGGACAGATGACCTGCATGAACATGACAGGAACCTGCAGCAATCCAGTACGGGTAGAAAAAAAAAAAAAAAAAAAAAACTTTATTAGTAAAGGAACGTCTTCAAGATATTAACTTCATTCACCCAATCAAGAAAGCTTCTAATTAATCTGTGCCTCAGCTGGAATCATTTGCATTATATGACATTCTACAGAATTAAAATGCTAAAATTCTAGCTGTACCTAATCAATTGGAAATATTTAGAAATATGTCAATCACATTGCTAGTGGTACTCACGCAGATAAGCAAGCTCGCTGTAAACAGCCGAAACATGTGTGAAGACTCTTCCAGATCCTTAGAAGACATTCTAGAATAAGGGTTTTTTACAAGTAACTTCATTTTTCCATAACTGGAACTTTCAATCTCATCAACAATCATTCTCGGACTGAGGAGCTCCGGATCAAAATGTATTTCCAACTCTCTAGATCTTCGATCAAAATTAAATTGCTTCACACCCTTTAAGTTGCAAAGATTTCCTTCTAACACCTGTACATCCATTTCACTTACAACCCCAGCAACCCCTACCACAATTTTATCCTGCTCATTACTCTGTACAAATGAAGCTTCAAAACCAGCATCTTCGATTGCATTGATTATATCCTCCTTACTGATAATGGTTGGATTGTACTCAACCTCTCCAAATGAGGTAGCCAAGGCGACTACAGCTTTTTCCACACCAGGTAGCTTCCATAGGATCCCTTCTACAGAATTTACACACGCAGCACATGTCATTCCACCAATTGTGAACTGACCAATTAAGGTCCTGTGCGGCTTAGACTGAGATGTGGTCGGCTCGGGTAGAATTTCTGCCTCAAATCCAGCATCATCTATGGAATTTATAATGTCTTCATCCTGAAACAAAAAGTAGGAATACAAATTGGTAATGTATAATACTTCAAAGAAAGAAGTTTTTATCTTCTCCGGTTACCACAACCTGAGGCATACAAATTGGTAATGTATACAAATCAAGGATCAGTCAGAATAGCTAGAACAGCGAAAGCTCATCCATATGTATAGTACTTCAAATACAGCAAAAAGTTTTTATCTATTCCAATTATCACAACCTTACTATCCGAGGAACACGAAAATACTAAGACAAAATAAATGCTTTTGTAGTAAATTTAAGATCACAAAGCCAATTCCACAATCAGTGATGTTATCATTCTCACATTATGTGAAAACGGAAGCATCCCCAGCTCATTTTCCCCTTTAGTTTATCTAGTTTATCTATAATGATCTCTCAAAGTTATAACCCAAGTGAATTGATCTGATCCACAACACAGCCACACCGGTAAGCACAAGAGTGGCACGTAATATTCAGGCAATAAGAAACTGAATAGTAAGCAGAAAAAAGGAGCTTAAAAAATCAGACCTTTACTAAGGCGGGATCGAAGCTGACATCAGCCCTGTTCTGAAGCAAGGCGACGGAGGCTCTAACGACGCCATCCAAGCTCATGAGAGCCGATTCCACGGAATTCGAGCACGCCGCACACGTCATCCCCGTCACTCGCACCTGCATCCTCCGCAAATTCCCGGAACTTTCCTCATCAGACGAGCTCAGCAGCCTATCCTCCTCGCCGGCATCCTGCGCCGGTAATCCCGACCCCTTTCCGGAGGCGGCGGTCAACTGCAGGCCCCTCATGGTCAACGCCGTCTCAAAAAACCTCCCTCAACCACCTCCGCGACAGAGGAGCAAGACAATCTACGGAACAAGATTCCGCCTGAATACGCAATTAATTAATTTGTGCTTTGAGGCTGAGATGGAAGAAAAGAAAATGATTAAAAGCAATTTAATTCATTAAATAGAGGTGATTATGGCACTTTTAATTGATTGTGTTGAGAGAGAGATGAAGATGAATCCGTGGGCGTGTGGGAAGAAAGGGACTAGAAAATAAGGCAAAGACCGGATTTTATTTTTGTAACCCTGAAAATAGCTAAATTTATTGAAATATAGGATTTGTACTGCTTTGTTGAGATGTACTACATGGATGGATTTGGTGAGCTGGAAATACTCCAACACCAAATTTAAAAATTTGCAAGTAGAGGTGTAGATGAAAGTGAGCAAAGGTGTAAAAGAGTTCGACCAAACTCGAATTTTTGATACTCGAACTGGGGCTCGACAGCTCGAGTTTTTAGTGAGGCAATATAAACTCGGCTCGTTAAAGCGAATCGACAAAATGAGTTCAAACTCGATTCGTTTATTAATATTAACAAATTGAATTCAAATTTAACAAGTCAAGTTGTAAAAAATTTGATGGAGACAAGATTGCACGCGTTGACTTTTATGGACAAGTCGATTATCTTATATTTTTAGTTTATAATTATTTATTCATTTTATTTTATTGCTATTATTTTAGTCTTTTTACCTTGTAGGGAAGTTATTTAATTAGTCCAGTGTTTTATTTGTCATAAAAGTTTATGGTAAGTAAGGATTTCTTAGGAGTCCTAAGTTTATTGTAAGTAGGGATTTCTTAAGTATCCTATTTAAGACTCATATTTTATTATTTAAGGATGGTTGATTATGATTGAATTTAGAAAAACATGAGTTATCTCTCAATTATTCAATTCGTTATGTCAAAATCTCAACTCATTTATTAAAATGAGCTTTACATGTTCAGAAAATTAGCATGGCTCGTTCGAACTCAAGCATAACTGAATTCACGCTGCTCATTTCATTCATCAGTTTTAGTTGTTAAGGTAGGTAGATTAGGCGGAACAGTTTTTCTTTTAATGAAAAGAATAATAATAAATTTTCGAGCATATGATGATTATTGACAAATTTAAATTAATTATGTATAGTGGTGTTGATTTGCGAGGACATGTATAATTTTTAAGTTTAATTAGGTCATGGAGCTAATTTCTACAGTAACCTTGTTATTAGTTGCAAAACCTTGTAGGCAGATCTTTGCGTGTGCAATTAAGATAAAATTTGATCGAGTCTTGACCATTATACGCAACCATGCCGCTCACAAAATCTCATTTGTCTTTCTAAATCTTATCAAACTTTGAACTTTGTTTTAGAACTTTCGTTTTGTCAAAAGAGAGGAAAACCAAGTCTTATTTAAAGACCATTTTACATTCTATATCTTGAAAAGCTATAATATTTTGATCTGAATCATAAAGTTAATTGTGTGTCTAAAGGTTCTTGAATTGCAGTTCAATTATCTTGTTTATGTCCTATGAAGATTTTTTCATGCTAGTACAGATACTTTTTCATGGAACAGTTTCAATCTATTTAAACAGAAAATGCACATTTATGTAATTACTATTATTATTTTTCAACATATGTTTTTTAGTTAAAGTATTCACATTTTTAAATTAAAAATATTATGTCAGACTTAACACAAGACCAATCATAAATTACAAGTTCTTTTATGTATTAGGTGGATCGACTCCGTACTATGTTAAAAAAAATGCATATTTATACTATCAAATATCGTGCTTTTGTTTATGTTGTTTTTTATCGTATGATATTTTTTTAATAAAAATTTACATATTTATGCAAAAAGTATGTTAGCTTAATGGTTAAGTTGGTCTAGTGTAATACAATAATTAAATACATAGATATCATAAACCATAGCTCATCTTATTCTTTTTCCTTTTCCTATTTTTGGTTCTCTCTTTGTTGAGCAAATATCGTGATTCAATAATTAAATACATACATATTATAAACCATAGCTCATCTTATCCTTTTTTTNTTTTTTTTTTTTTTTTCTTCTTTTTTCCTATTTTTGGTTTTTTCTTTGTTGAGCAAATGTCGTCTTCTTCTTTTCTCTGATTGGAAACGTGACTGCGTTCCCACTCTTTAAAAGCTGCCCTGCAAAGCAATCGTTGATTGAAAATTAATGGACAAATTCTAATTTTGAAACATAAAGCTGATTAAAGAGTGGAATCTCTCTGTGCAGAACACTGCACAAAATCAAATTATTGACATCCATTTCAATTAAAGAGTCGGTTAACTCACTTTTTAAAAAAATAAAATTAAAGTTGCATTTATGGATAGAAATGTTATAATTTGTTGATAGAAATTCATTATACAAAATCTGAATATATCTTTATAATTTTGATGAAACATGTAGAAGACGAGTTTTTAGTTGTTGATACAATAATTAAATACATACATATTATATCTTTATAATTTATTTTGTTACATGTACGTTTGTCTTCTACATTTTATGGTCTCAGTTTTATACACACAACAAGAGATCTAAAACTGAAGTAATATGAATATGCTTCAAACTTGAAACTTCTAATTTCTTAGTCCACCTACCCTATTGTTCTATTTAAATCTCAATCTTGTTTTCAAACCTAATAGACGTGGGAAATAAAATAACAGGGCCTAACCTAGTAAGAGTCACGTGATGCACTATTAGGTAGAATTTACAACTTAATAACCACCATAAAATTAATAACAATTAACATGTTTTTTTTTTTTTTTTTAATTAAAAGAAAAAGAACGTCCAAATCTGAAGCAGATGAATGACAAGGACGTGTTGTTGCTTGTTGGGTTAAGCAGGTGAACAACAACCGTTGTAGTTGCCACGTCAAATAACCCAATTAAGTTTGTTAAATATTGAAATATGAAGCAAACCAAAATTATTTGGTTAAAGAATGTCACACAACCAAACTTTATTCATCATCACTCTTATTTGGAGAAATCAATCATTCTTCATGCCAACTCATTTCACCGTTTTTCCTTTCCATTTTGTGTACTTCCGTTATTCATCTACTTTTTCCGTTTCAATTACACTGTGTCTTACAAACTAAAACATTCAAGATCTTATTGTCATTCAATGTTGTGTTTTGAGTCACAAAATCTCACATTGATTATTATGAAAAGAAGATGGTTATATTTCAAGGAAAAAGCTATTTGTACAACATTTTTGTATAACATTCAATAACAACATGATGTGGCATGATGTGGGTGGTTGAGATGCAAATAAATGTATGGTTGAGATTTGAGTTAATGATACTTTTAACTAAGTTGTCAATCAATGTTGTAAACTACAATTGTACATGTAGCATTGTCCATATTTCAATTAGCTTCGACTTCAAATCACCTAATATCTGTCAACAGAATTGTAAACAAGTTGACTCGATACACGGGCTTGAGCTTAATTCATGAATGAGCTGAATTGCATTAAATTTTTTCAAAATTACGTAAATACACCCCATTAAATATGCCTAACTCGGCTCATTAACTAAGTCCTCGAGCTTTAATGATCGAGTCAAACTAATCTCACCAGCCCTTCATTTTGTTTAACAACTTTTAAGTGTGAGTGATTCCATATTGTTGGGCTTGTTTAGTTCAATTGAGTTTCCTAAGCCCGTCAACTATCAAATCGTCTCATGTTTGGGCTTCTCAAATAAATGAGCCTAAAACAAATTGAAAGCCCAAGATAATTTTTTTATTTTTTATTCTCCAAATTTTATGATTCAACTCCCAAATCCTCATTTTGGTTTTATCCGATAAACCCTTTGGAGTGGAGAAAAATGAGAGGGGTGGGTTTAATGCTACGTCGTTTAGCAGGCGGAGGAAGGGTCCCATGCTCGGCCGGCCGATCGCTTTCCATCGGTGAGAACCTCATTCCGTCGTCCGCAGGAATCGCTTTGTGCTCCTCCCCAATCCTCGCCGGAGACGGCGTCCGCCTTCTTTTCCTCTCACCGACGGCCTCTGCTAGCTTTCAGGGCGTTTTGCTGAATCATTCTCGTAGCTTCTCATCATCACCCTCCTCAGGTCTCTATCATGAAAATTTATGAAGCATTTGAACTGTCAAGTACTTACCGATGTTATTTCTTCCCTGTGTGTCTCTCTGTGTGTATTCTGGCTTTGGATTAAGGGGAATTTGGAATTTTCAGTGTTGACACTTGAAGGCATATTATAGTGTAGCTGACCCAAATTCTGTTGAGAAATGTGTGATTTAGGACTCTGCTTTTAGTTATTCTCATTATCACGTTGAGACTACTAGCAAAAAGAAGCCTAAAGTTTAGACATGAGTGATTTTGAATGTGTTGTTTTGAGTTATTCAGTACTGTTCTGTACTAAAATAGTAGACTTCTTGTTGAAAGAAAATGGAACCAATGGTTGATTTTGATCCCTCCTAAAGTTCTGTGGTCGTATTCCTCAATGACGAGCCTTATGTAATTTTAAATTCTCTAACATGTGCATTAGTTTATTACCCATTATTTGTTGCTTTGGATCTGTAGATGCATCCAAGGTGGTGTTAATTGAGACTGAGGAGCAGTTTAACGATTCACTTCGCATGGTCCAAGGTATGCTTGTACTTGTAGAAAATATTTGATTCTGTTACAGATATTTTCTTTACCGGTGGATAGTTTTTTCGTCTATGCTTGTTAGCTGTAAGTCTTGATCTCTCACACATTTGTTACTTGAATCTGGTGTAGATGAATCTTTGCATGCAATATTCTACTTCACTGCAGTTTGGTGCCCCCCATGTAAGTTCTTCTTCTTTTCCTCTTATATAAGTTGCATCTATCTTAATTGGAAATGATTCTTAATCTCACACTTGATAAATCATAGTGGCAGGTAGATTGTTATCCCCTGTAATTGGGCAGCTTAGCGAGACATACCCCCATGTCACCACATATAAAATAGATATCGATAAGGTAATATATAATGTAAATATTATTTTTTCCGTGCTTTTCATCATTTACTTTTGACATGGATGTTATTGATTTTGAAATGTGCAGGAGGAGCTAGGAAATGCATTGGACAAGCTAAACATCCACTCTGTGGTAAAATCGGATTATCCTTCATCTTTTTACGTACCGATTTATTTGTTCCTTATTGTACTCTTAAATCGTGATGTTTGTTGACCCGGTTTGTTTAATCGTGATGCAGCCCACATTGCACTTCTTTCAAGACGGTAAAAAGGCCTCAGAGTTCATTGGGGCAGACGTTAAGCGCTTCAATGATACCATGGAAACACTCTACAAAAAGTGAGGGCTTTGCTCACAATTCCAGAACAGATGTAAAAAAAATTATAGGGTGTGGATATCGATTTATTTTATTTTCAGAATTTAATTTGAATTTCTCTAAGTTGAAAACTAATTTATTGTTTCTGTTTTTCTTATTCCATTTTTCTGGGTAATCGAGAGAATATAGGTGGCATTGTGCTTTTATATTAGAATCATTACCTGACATTGCAAATTTGTTTACATTTTTAGCTGTCAGTGCATGCAAAATCAACAGATACTATTTTCAGCAGATCTGTGAACATTCATGTCCAATAGTTCGACTCTGTGTCGTTCTGAATATTTTGATTTATCAAATATGTATGCTTATCAAGAGAGAGCTTGTACAAATTTAAACCATTCATGTCCAATAGTTCGACTCTGTCGTTCTGAACATTTTGATTTATCAAATATGTATGCGTATCAAGAGAGAGCTTGTACAAATTAAAAACATTTTGATTTATCAAATATGTATGCGTATCAAGAGAGCTTGTACAAATTAAACAGAAGCCGATTTGCAAATGATCCATTCAGTAGAAAGAGAGCTTGTACGTAGAAGCCGATTTGCAAATGATCCATTCAGTAAAAAGAGAGCTTGTACGTAGAAAGCTTGTGTTCGCATTGAGCTCCTTCAAGTTGCAAATGATCCATGCTTGTGTTCGCATTGAGCTCCTTCAAGTTGAGCTTACGTAGAAGCCGATTTGCAAATGATCCATTCAGTAGACGTAGAAAAAACTTGTGTTCGCATTGAGCTCCTTCAAGTTCACTTATATAATTAAACAAACACTTAAAAGGAAAAAGAGAGCTTGTACGTAGAAAGCTTGTGTTCGCATTGAGCTCCTTCAAGTTGAGCTTGTACGTAGAAGCCGATTTGCAAATGATCCATTCAGTAGACGTAGAAAAAGCTTGTGTTGGCATTGAGCTCCTTCAAGTTCACTTATATAATTAAACAAACACTTAAAAGGATCTAAATATAGTAACTCCTATAATAAATTAACATTGACCTCCTTCAAGTTCACTTATATAATTAAACAAACACTTAAAAGGATCTAAATATAGCAACTCCTATAACAAATTAACATAAGTTCACTTATATAATTAAACAAACACTTAAAAGGATCTAAATATAGCAACTCCTATAATAAATTAACATAAGTTAGACGCTTCAAGTTCACTTATATAATTAAACAAACACTTAAAAGGATCTAAATATAGCAACTCCTATAATAAATTAACATAAGTTAGACGCTTCAAGTTCACTTATATAATTAAACAAACACTTAAAAGGATCTAAATATAGCAACTCCTATAATGAATTAACATAAGTTTATAATAAATTAACATAAGTTAGACGACCTTGTACTCCGTTTCATTTTTTTAAGAGTTTATGAACAACTCATTTCTAGATGTAATTGAGTTCATTAACAACTCATTTCTAAATGTAATTGAGCTTGTGAACATCTTGTTTCAAGATGTACAGGACAAAAGTATATGTAGACAAAATGAGATGTACGAGACAAAAGTTCGGTAAAATCTCGATCATGACTGGACAAATGAAGAATTTAAAATTATACTTATGTAGACAAAATGATTTAGCTAAGTACAACATTTCATACTAGTGTTTAATAACTGGGCAATTCTGCATGTACAATTGTAGTTTACAACATTAGTTGACAACATAGTTAAAAGTATTATTAATTTAAATCTTAATCATACATTTATTTGCATTTCAACCACTCACATTATGCCACATCATGTTATCATTGAATGTTGTACAAAAAAGTTGTAAAATTAGCTTTTTCCTTAATTGTTCTATAAAGTTCAATATCTAGACAAAATGGTAACTAAAAAGATGTAAATGAAGTTGAGATTAGCAAAGTTTAAATGGTAACTAAAAAGATGTAAAAGGAATTGAGATTAGCATAATTCGGGTGCAGAGAGCAACATGGTTTCTAATAATTGGGCCGTTAAGTCCTTTGCTGGGATGAGTGTTCCGATTTGGACCATATGAAAGTCAGCCTAATTAATTGATCGGGTCCTCAAGGCCCATAACTCATATATCGCTTATCCAAACCCAAGCAAAATCCGAACTGATGAATCCCTTCACCACAGCCAGGAGCAGAGCTACCTTCCATGGCACTGTCAGCAGCAAACTTCACCTTAATCTCAAGATCTTCTTCCATTTTCCTGCGCAAGAGAAGCTATGCTCTCCGTCTACACTTTTCATCTATCTCAACTTCCTCCGCCGCCGCCCTTCCTTCTGATAAAGCACACTCCCATAAGAAGTGGCTCCGGCCGGCGGCCGCCTCGCTTGTCGAGCTTGGAGGTGTAAAGATAGCCAGAGAAGGTAAATTAAGGTTTTTTAATTTCGTATCAGCTTTTTCTTTCTTCCATTTATAGGTTCTTTTTTTATACTTGTTTGATTTCGGTGATTAACTCTGGCCTCGAAATGAATGTGGGTATTGATCGATTCTTATGTTATGCTTCGTGACCCGTCGGTAGTTAATCCTTTGGAAAAAAAGCTAGCTTTTTGTTTCTTGTGGTCCACAAAGGGTCGATTTTCATTGTAGAAAGTGAGCTGTGTTGGTCATTTCTGATTCATGTTCCATGAACTAGGGATCTTCATTCTGTAGTTTAGATTTCATATGTTATGTGAAAGTCTGCTATATGATTTTTGATTCATTCTCAGGGTATAACATTCACACATCTGTTTTGTTTTTTAATTGGGTACCGATGTGTTGTGATGATTGCATGAATATCTATCTGTGCAGAGATAGTTAAGGATGACCCAACAAACAATGTTCCCGATTCAATTTTCTCGAAGCTCGGTATGCAGCTTCATAGGAGGGATCGACATCCTCTTGGGATACTAAAGAATGCAATCCATGACTATTTCGACACCAACTACCCCACCAAATTTGACAAGTTCGATGACTTATGCCCAATAGTTTCTGTTAAAGCTGTAGGTTCTTGAATCCTGTGAAGTATTTGACTTTTGTACTTCCCTCTTTTGATAATGTGCCTTATATTTCTTCTATGTTCTAAAATTGATTTACTAATGAGCTAGATGCTTGTCGATTGCACCTTATATGTATAATCTTTTTCTTTTGTTGTTGTTTTACAATCCATCTTTGCCTTCATTTTAAGAGGAAGTTCATTTCTCTTTCAGTCATATTGATGTCTCCAATACTTTGATAAGCCATCTGTAAGACTTCTAACAAAGATTTAGTCATATTTGATACTTTTTCCCTGTATTTCTAGAGTTGGCCATGAGTTGCGACTATGCACGGGGGGTTATGTTTTATTTTTATGTTCATGCAATTATAGCATGTCCTTTATTATGAAATTGAAACCCCTATTTTCTTCAAATCATTATTTTTTTGAACCTTCAATGTATTTTATATATAGAAAAACTATGCAAAGAATTCCATTGAATGGAGAACAATTCAGCTCTTCTTTTTCTTTTTAATTTTTTTCACCTTGTTTTTTAGAGTTCGGATATCATGTTTTTAATTCCTTTAGTTTTTCTAATGTTTTCCAAAATTTTAGGGTTTTTTTTTTCTTTTTGAGTTTTGCAGGGTTTTTAGTGTTTTTCTTAGTTTTTCCTTGTTCATGTTTCTGCTCTTTGTTTTTTTTAATACATGTAGTTATTAAGTTTTCAGATGTGTTCTGTTATCTGGTATTTTTAGAACAATTTTTAATTTTATAGAACTGGTCTTTTATCAGATGAATAACAGGAGTGTATAATTTTACATGTTTCCTTCAGAACTTTGATGATGTGTTGGTGCCTGCCGATCATGTAAGCAGGAGTTATAATGACACTTATTATGTGGATTCTCAAATTGTCTTGAGGTGCCACACTAGCGCACATCAAGCTGAGTTACTTAGGGAAGGTCACACTCATTTCCTTGTTACAGGAGATGTTTACAGAAGAGATTCTATAGACTCCACTCACTACCCTGTGTTCCATCAGGTTTTTTTTTAGTCTCTGCATCATTTTGTATTTGATCCGTTTGCACCACAATTATTGTTCGGTGAAATGTTTTTAGATGGAAGGAGTACGTGTTTTTTCTCCGGCTGACTGGGAAGGATCTGGTAAAGATGCCACGTCATATGCTGCTGAGGATTTAAAGAAATCCCTTGAGGGCTTGGCCCGCCACTTATTTGGTACATTGATTTAAAAAGTGACTATGCTTCAAATTTGCTAAAGAGCAGGGAAAGATAGCATGCAAATTTTTGCAACCTGTATCTTTTTCATGTTAGAACATTAATTATTAACACTGCTAGGTTAATGCTAATAAATGGACATCAGGTATCTTGGTATTTTGGTTGTGCTAAGATTTCTCGAAATTTTCAGGTGGTGTGGAAATGCGTTGGATTGACACTTATTTTCCATTTACCGATCCTTCCTTTGAGTTGGAAATATTTTTTCAGGTATCTTACTTTGACGAATATCGAAACCCAAATTTCAAGTTTTTTTTTCCTTTTCCACTAGCTTCAGTTAGTAAAAACAAAGTGGGTATTATTATTTCAGGAGAAATGGTTAGAAGTGTTGGGCTGTGGGGTGATGGAGCAAGAAATATTGAAGAAAAGTGGTAAAACAGATAATGTCGCGTGGGCTTTTGGACTTGGACTCGAACGGCTAGCAATGGTTTTATTTGACATTCCAGATATTCGTCTTTTCTGGACAACGGACGAGCGTTTTACTTCACAAGTATGATGATGCTCTTCAGAATCATGGAATGTTCTCATTTCTTGATATATTTCACTAATATTCAGGCCTGACAATATTTTCTTTATCGTTTATGTAGTTCTCCAAAGGACAGCTCGGGGTTAAGTATAAACCATTTTCGAAGGTACTGAGATATTTCAAGAAAAATACTCTTATCAATGTTTAATTTAATTAGGGAACTCTATTGAAGGTCTAGAATAGAAAACTGAAACTCTCTTTTTAATATTGATTGAACATTTGCAGTATCCTCCGTGTTATAAGGACATGAGTTTCTGGATAAGCGATTCATTTACAGAAAACAACCTATGTGAAGTTGTTAGAGGAATAGCGGGGGATCTTGTTGAGGAGGTAAAGTTACATTTGATACTTTCCCCAAACAGTGCCTATCTCAAAAATTGGTTTTCTCAAAATAAATTCGAGCTTTTTATCTGCTTTGTAGGTGAAATTGATCGATGACTTCACTAACAAGAAAGGAATGACGAGTCACTGTTACAGAATTGCATATAGGTCAATGGAACGGTCACTCACCGATGAGGAGATTAACGATTTACAGGTAATTATCATACCATATACAAGAAAGTGATATACGCCCTTCTTTATTTTTTTCTTACTAACTTAAAAGTATTTATTGAAAAAAATATAATGGCAGTGGAAAGTGCGAGAACAAGTGGAGACGAAGTTGAAAGTTGTTCTGAGATGATAGTACTGAAATACTGAAAAATCCAATGCTACTACGTGAATTAGCAGCAACTTAATTTGAAGTGGATTGTATTGTACAGGAAGATTTGTCAAGCATCATTTGGATTACCAGGTAATAATGTTATCTGTCTTGTAATTTTTCAGCTGGGACACTTAAGAGTTGCTAAAGAAACTGCTATGTAGAACACTTAACAGAAAGGTTCAACATTTTGCTCGTGATGAATACTTGGATTATCTGATTATATCGTTGAGAAAGAAAGTTATACTTTAAATTTTGTCAGATATATAGCGCTCGCTACTGATATAATTTAACCATGAGCTTGTAGCTCAAGTGGTACCTTTCACTGACTTGTAAAGATCTTTGTAAAGGTGTTAAGACTTATTGATACAGAGTTCAACTATGTACCTTGTAGTTACTTAGGGCGTGATTGGATGTGAATCGAAATTTTGGTCGGTTAAAGTGAGTTATTTTGAATAAAGTTGATTGAGTGGATGATTTTGAGTTAGTAAATTGGAAACAAAATAACTCAATCGGTCAAAATCGATTAAGCCGGTTTTGACTCATATCCAAGCGCGCCCTTAGAAATTTAGACTTTGGAAATGAGGTCTTCCCATACGTAATATGGAAATATTTGTTTCTAGGGATAAGAGATAGCTTTCTAAGGGCGCTTGTATATAAATATATTCGTTTAAAACGAGTTTTTTTTGTTAACTAGAATTGATTTAGAAAAATGTGGTATGATTAGTTATTAATGAGATTTTGAGTTTATATTAAAATAATATTTAAAATAAAATAATTTAAGTTGATTTAATGTAAAAATAGGAAAGAGGTGATGTGAAATGATGGTTAGTTAGAATTATGTGAGTAGATAAATAGTGAATTAAATTTAATGTAATGTGTAAGAATGATTGATTTATATTATTTAATTATATTAATAATATTGAAGATAGTGTGATTGAGTTGAAGTTTAGTTAGATTTTAAGTATTGATTGATATGAATTGAGTTTATTTGCATGCAAACACACCTTAAGTTTTCAAGATTTTCCATTATTAAGTTTGTCTTTTTTCAACTAAAAGGGTAATTAAAATTTATCGAAACCAAACTTTATTTTTTTTTCACATATAATTGGTGAGACTTGTGGCCGTGGGTTGGGAGATAAGTGCAAGCTTGTATACAATTTTTATTAAAAAATTAAATCAAAACTCTAATTTAATTCAAATTTAAATATAATTAAATAATATTATCTCTTATTTTTAATAAGTGTCGTTTTGAGAAGTTACACAATAATTAAGAATATTTTTTTTTGTCAATAATAACCCTCATTAATGAAGATAGAGATAGATGTTTTGAGAAAAGATGAATATTGAATATGAAATTATTAGCTAAATGAGAATAATAATGAAAAAAATGTGTACTAAATATCTAAAATGTTATTTATTTGATTAATGTTTGATAAAGCTAAAATGACATTTAAAAAAAAATAGGAGGCAGTACTAATTAATCATCTTTAGACATCACATCAATTTTAATTCATTATTCATCCACTTACTTAATTTTAATTTCATTATTTTCAATCAACACTCGTCTATTTTTACATCAAATCAACTTTAATTATTTTATTTTAAATATTATTCTAATACAAATTCAAAATTCAATTAAAATCTAACCCAATTAAGCCCAGCTAACAAATTATATGATTTGCTTTCTTCAATTTTGTTAGAATGAATTGTTTGGATGGGTAAATGCACAAGTGAGGCAGAGTATGGAGAAGAAGTATATGAAAGGGGGATGTTGAATGAGGTGAACAGAGGCCTATATCTTTACCTATTTGCAATTACTACTAATTAGGTACTTCAGTCAAAATCCCCTTTCAATTCAACTATCCTCTCATTGTCATGTCCCATTCCATTCATTCATATCCCCCAATAATGAATGAATCCTCCACCCATTCAACTCCACAGTTTATTTGGTGTAGAGGTAAGGTAACTGCATTTTGACCCTCAGTTTTTGAGGTAAAAAAATTTAACTAGATTAACTTTCTGTTTTCCACACAATGAACTAACATCACATAAGATTGATCGAAGAATTAAAAAAAATAAAATAAAAAAAAAAAAGCAGAAAACTGTTAAACACACGATCAAACAACCACACACAATAAAAAACAAAATGAGACAAAATAATAAATAAGTTTGTCCTTACTATTGTTACCGGAAGCCACTAGTTTGAAAATATTCATTAATGGAACCACATAAGTTCATAACACATTAAGC